TACTTAACTACTACTAATTTCTAAAATTATATAGCTTTCTATACTCTTTATAGATAGAACTAGTTACTAAATCTACTAAAACTATAAGCGTTATTAGATATAGTCTATAGAGGTTTATAAATAAGAGAAAAGAAAAGATAAATAATAAGACAATTACTGCGTATATAAAAGTAATTATAAAGTATCTAAATTTCTAGCTAATCTAGTATTAACTAAGAATAAACTAAACTTCTCTAAGAAGTAACTAGAACTTATAAGTCTTAAGAAATAGTAGCTTAATAGTCTTATATCTAAGTAGAGTAGTATACTACTATACTCTTTTATAACTATAAAAGCACTATCTTATAGTATAAAGAACTCTAGAATTTCTTATATAACTTATAAAGTATATTAGAATACTATTAAAGAGAGATTATAAAACGTCTACTTACTAGACTATCTTTTTATTAGCTTTAAAATACTCTAAAAGTATTATAAACTTTAGAAAAATACTATTTACTCTATTAGTCTTCTTACTATATCTCTTAATAACTATATAACTTATAGTAGTTAGCTTTATAAGTTCTACTTACTATCTTCTATCTATATTTACTAACTAAAATAGTTAAGATTAGCTAGCTTTAAGAAAAAGATTATAAAAGTATTATAGAACTTAAAATTACTAAAGCTATAGCTACACTATTTATTACTTTTAAAGTATAGTTATCTTTTAAAGAGAGGTAGTAGAATATAGCTACTCTAATATAGCGTTTTAAGAAATATATAATATAGAAAATATCTATTTAGAATTAGTTAGTAATAGCTTACATATTATAAACTAGTAATTATTACTAACTAAGTGCTAACTTTTTAGTATAAAAGCTATTCTAATTCTATATACTAAGATAGTATTATACTTTTTTAATTATAGTAGAAGTTATATAGGCTTACTTTCTTACTAATCTTATAAATACCTTTTATAGGCTTAAAAAATCTATAACTATTAGAATAATAAAAGTATAAGTAAATTACTTATTCTATAAGATAGTAACTATATAACTATAGGCTAGTGTAGAACTAGCGCTAATATACTTACTATTCTTAAAAAAGTATTTTATAACTATTTTATAAAGAAAAAGTAGTAAACTTTAAAGTTTTTTATTCTTAATAGAATCTATAAGATTAGAGACTCTAGTAATAAGCTCTAGAAAAAGTTCTAAATATTATTAAAGAAAGACTAGTTACCTAGGTAGAGTTAATTAATTCTATTAGGTTCTAGTTCTAATAAGCTAAGGCTAACTTAGCACTAGCTATAAATACCTTAGAATTACTATTATAGCTTAGTAGTAATTTATCTACTAGAGGTAAGAAGTAAGATTAGAAGTCTAGAGAATAGTTTAGAAGTAGATACTTATTAACTTCTTAGTAAAGGTTCTATCTATTAGATAAAGGTAATACTAGAATAAAGAAGTAATCTATTAAGTAAAAGTTATAAAGTTTAGTATAATACTATTAAAAATGTCTAAATAATTTAGTTATTACTAGGTAGATAAATAAGTAGGTAGTAGAGTTATAAAAATTAAGTCTAGGTAAGCTTTAATACATAGCTTAGTAGTATTAGCTTAAGATAAGTAATATTTTATTAATTAAAACTATAATTTATATCTTTCTTTTATAAAGTTTTATAATTATATAGCTATTTAGTTTATAATACGTACTTAGAAACTTAAGAAGCTTCTAATTAGACTAAATAATAAAAAATCTTACAAGAGCTATAGTCTTAAGCCTACTTCTCTAAAATAAATACTAAAATATAGTTACGCTAAGAAGTAAATCTAAAGCGCTAGCCTAGGTATAATAGTATAAGGTAGTAGGTCTAACCTAGATAATAATTAGATAGTAGCTCTAGAATATACGTAAAAGCGCTACTAGACTTATAAAAGTATTTATAATAATAGCTCTAATAAGATAAATATTAATAGAGATAATAGCGTAGGCTAAAGTAAATACTTAATTCTAGAAGTGTTTACGTAATATAAGCTTCTATAGAAAGACTTCTATATATATAAAGAATAGTAAGTTATATCTTTTATAGTAAAATACTATCTAAACTCTATCTAGTCTATATCTTATCTACCTTATCTATTACTTAGGTATATTCTATAACTACTTTTATAAGCGTATCTTTCTAGCTTTACTAATCTTACTATAGTTAAAAAGTAGTAAAGTAGCTTAGTATAGATTTATCTTTAAAATAATATTCTTCTTACTCTTAAATAACTAGTGTACCTCTATATACTTTATCTATATAGTATTTAGGCTTAGGCTTAATATAGATTAAAAGAGGTATTAGATATAGTACTTTATTTCTTTCTTTATAGTAGGTACGCTATATTAAAGTTTAGATATAATAAGCTATATAAGCGTAAGGTTTTTGTCTTTATATAGTAGAAGAGTAAATTTATTAAAATATAACTATATAATAAAAGTATTATTACTTAGAATATTCTAGTAAACTTTATATAGATTTTAGATTCTTATACTATAATTATATATATCTAGATAATAAAGTTCTTTAAAGAGTACTATAAGAATTTCTAATAATATAAAATACTTATAACGTTTACGCGTAATAAGACTTTAGGTATCTTTTTAATAAGCTTATAAAGATATACTTTAGTATATAGTAAAAGTAGAATAGCTTTAATATTATTTATAAACGTGTCTAGTATATTACTATAGTTTAGTAGTTATTAGTAGAGCTAATAATTTAGAGCGCTTTCTATTAAGATAATTTATAAACCTTAGAATATTTAGAGAGAGAGTACTTATTAGAGAAAGTTAGTAAAGAGGTAATAGATAACTTAGTATTAACTATACTAAGTTACTATATAAATATTATAATATAAGTATCTAGTAAAGAAAAGTTACTAGTTAATAAGGCCTAGAGTATCTTAGATAGATACTATAGCTACTTTAGTAAAGTTCTTACTAAGGCTACTATCTTTATAGGTAGAGACTTTAGAAAGATAATACGCTCTTAACTAAGACTATAACGCTAAGCTACTTATAACTTTTATAATATATTACTACTATATACGTAAAGGTACTCTCTAAATAAAAGAAATTATAATTATTAGACTTTTAAGTTATAATAAACGTTTATAGGTTTATTATATACTTAGGTATATTTACTAAGATATACCTTACTTTTATAGTAGAAAGTATTAGAGCTATATTTTAGAAGTTTATAAAGTATATATACCTTAAGATTTTTACTATTTATCTTTTATTAGTAAGTACTTTTAAGTACTTTTTTAATATTATTCTATATATAAAGAGTATAGGTAACTTTAATATATTAGCGTAAATAAAGCTTATAGCGTATAGTTTTCTTAAGATAATAGTAATACCTAGAAGATTTAATACTTTACTATCTCTATAATAAATAATATCTTAGATATAAACTATATTTTTTATTATTTTTATAGTTTTTAAAATATATTTATAACTATAGACAGCCTTATAAGAATAAACTAACTCTACTATTCTAAAAAAATAATATATTTAGCTCTTTTCTATAAGATATTTAAAATAATCTTCTTAACTCTATTACGCATACCTTAAGTAATAGATATTTTCTTAATATAAAAACTAAGTACTTAATATACTATAAGAATAATATTTTACTAATAGTCTAGATTATTATCTATAGCTATATATTTTATAAGACGTATATTACTAAATAGATTAACTACCTTTAATCTAAGAGTAAGGTAGCTATATATCTACTAGATTAAAGTAAACTATTTAGTAAAAGCTTTTTAGAATATCTAGAATATAACTATAAATATAATAATAAAAGCTTAGTTAATAATAAAGGCTTAGTTAATAATAAGGCCTAGATATTAAGTAATAATAAAGCTTTATAATAAGAGCGTATTAAATATAAGAAGTAATAACTTTAGAAGAATAAAGAGTTAGCGTAAAAATATATAGAATACTAAGCACTACTTTATAAGAATAAAGAGGTATTAGAATTATAAATACTTCTAGTATAGTAAAGAATACGTAACTTATAGTGTATACTTTACTCTACTAAGAATAAATAAGAAGAGAGGTTAATACTCTAGAATCTAAAGACTATAATAGCTATAGAGGTAGAGCTATAAAATAATAGCGTATAGTATAATATAATATTCTATATACTTAGTTTTAAAATCTAAAGTAATCTTAGATAGAATTAAGATGCCTTACTTTCTAGCTACGCTAAAGAGTATTATTAGATTTTAGTAAAGCTTAGTAGTTGCGTAGACTTTAAAATCTATACTATTTAGTGTTACTACTTACTTTATAAGTAATTATATTATATCTTACACTACGCGTAATTGTTTTACTTCTATCTAAAGTCTTTTTACTTCTATTTAGAGTATTAATACGTTACACCTTATACTACGTATATTATACTTATCTAAAGTTTTAATATTTCTTGCTAAGACTTAGGCGCTAGCTATAGTAGTAAGCTAATATAATGCGTTACGTTAACTTACTATAGTAGCTTACTTAAAACACTAGCCTCTATAATTACTATAATACTTATAGTAATTACGTTTTATACTTAATTAAATAACTACTTCTAGTCTACTAATTATAGTATCTACTTTTATCTAGTGTAAGTTAAGTATATATAGCCTTATAAGCAGAGTAATTAATATTTACTTTGTATCGCTATCTTAGGTGTTAGTTCTAGCTAGCTACCGCTCGTAATTGTAAGCATTAACTGCTTCTTATTAAAAGCTCTATCGAGAGAGATTAATTGGACTATATTATCAAAGATAGTGACAAAGTCAAGCTGCATTGGTAGCTGCTGTTTCCAGACTAACGATATGCCGTTACACGTCCGTGGGGAGTTCGGTGGAGATTTCGAGTCCACTATCCATTGTCGTGGCATTGGTACAATAGGAGGATGGTCTTGATAGAAGCTTCCTATGAGGTCTGCCCTATTCAGACGTCAGCAATTATCAAGCCTTGGGCTCACCCGCAGATGCTGACCAGCTGATCGTAACTCGTAAGTGCTCTTTCTCAATGGTATCGAATCCGCCCCTTAGTCCCACTATTCTCACTAGTGCGTTACTATGTTTCTGCCAATCACTACTGGTAAAGTTCCCCAATAAAGCCTGAAGATCATCAGCCTTGCCGCCATTGACCTCAAACGGGCGACTTACAAAGTGGATCATGAAAGAAACCACAGCACCTATAGCTTCATCACTCGTGCGCTTCGCCGGGTCGTTCATCATCTGGGTGGTGTGGCGAAGCGCCTTGTTGTGATATTTCAATGCTATGGCATCATCTTGTGAAGGGTAATATCCGTTGCGCCTCTGGAACAAGAAGTTTTGTGAGTTGGAAAGCATGTTGTTAAAAGCTGCCGCATCGCTGAGTCCAACGGGGTACCAGGAGCCACGGAGCTGGCTAGGATGATTGCTATCTTCGGTACTAAAGACTACGCCAAGTCAGGAAAGAGTCTGACCAAAACGAGTGAATGCGCCTACTGTTCGCTAGTAGCGCTCGACAAGAGTCGTCAAGTTCGATGGGGTAGGGGTTAAAGGGATCAAGCTGACCGCCACCAAACCGGTCAACATCGACGCGACTCTCGGACGGATTGCGAAACTCAAGGACGATTTCATTGCGCGCCCTCTTCGTTTTGGGTTTTCTTCTCGCTTTACCGACCTCAGTCATAGCTAGACGTCGAATGCGCAGTTGCGTTTCTTCATTTTTGAGATCGTCGGGGTGTGTGAGGTTCACAAAGTTGAAGCTTGGTTTCGTGGAGCGATCCATGGCGATGATTGCGGGCCGTGATTGTGGCCCTCACAGAGAGCTCGATATCTTGATATATACCCAAGGCATAAGTGAGCGCGGCGGCAAACTTTTGTCATCGACATTGGGGCTTCGGCGCCATATCGATAGCGAGACTGGGGCGGAGTGGCAGAGGAGCTGAAGGAGATGCCGAGAGCATGAACCTGCAGGGCAATCGCACAGGAGGGGCGTCATTTCCAAGGCTGCAGCAAGCGAACAAGCCACTCAAAAGCAGGCGACACGAAGGCGAACTTCATTGTCGAGTAGGGTGATAGTGTACCTAGGTACGTTACAATTCGGATGGACGATTGATGCGCTTCCGGGAGGCGTGCGAGAATTAGTAATGTAGGTTACCTGCCAGGCTCGTGAATAAGCAAGAAAGGCCTTGCAGCTGTGCCCCGTCCGTCCGCCATGATACAGCATGGCCGATAACAACAGCAAGTCATTGAATAAGAATGTAGCATGTTGTGCGCCGGAGCGAAGTGAGCTGCCCGTAAAGAAGGCGCTGAGAGATACCCAGGTATTGATGGTCTCAATGGAGCTCGCAATACTTTCAAGGTCGGCAACAGCAAGTCCGGTGTCCTGCGCTACGCACCACCCTCGGGACATAGGCCCATAGCATGCCTAACCACCCACGCATGTGTCCGCCTTCAACGCTACCACCGCATCGTCTTGATTACCATGCAGTCTCAATTCCTCCATCAAATTTGGCTCACCAAGCAGCAGCGCTTTTGCCACAATTTTCCATCTCAACACAACGCCTTCATCGATCTCCAATGGTTGCAGAATCCAAACCCTCGACGTCATGCAACTCGCGTTAAGCAAATCAGTAGGGATTGCAGCTTGAAGCGCCTCAAGCTTGGCATCTTTCCAGTCTTCCTTAATGCTCGTGATAGTCATGAGAGCCTGACGCCCATCCATGGTGCATTGCAAGCGGAATGAAAGAGAGCCAATGTAATACATTGAACGAGGATCGGTTACCCAGGTCAAGAAGATGCTGGCGTCATCCAAGTCAAATGCATTACTCTCCAACGTTTCTGGACTTGCATATCGTCGTAGTTGGTCCAAAAGTCTTTGTGCTGGTATATAGAGGGCAGTGTTTGGCTGCAGATCTCTGAAAATGCCTTGGTTATAGTTGGGGTGTACAACATCACGTTTTATCTGCTCCCATAGATTGGCAGTAAACTGAATACCATTACTGATACAAGTGGCGATGAACCTTCGTCGGTGCTCGTCGCATTCGCTGTCCGTCTGGGCGGCAGGTAAATGCGATTTGCTTGCATCAGCGACATGCTTTGCCGGCTCTGTAGTTGGTATTGTGCCAGGGAAAACTTGGCCAACAGTGTCCAGCTCGAAGCTGTGATCTGTTGGTGTATCGAGCCTTGGAAGAAAAATCATGTCGATTCTGATGACTTCGGTCGAAATCTGGCGGATGCCCTGCACACTTCCTAGAGGAAATTTTGGAATGATAGTATCGCCAGTACCGAGGCTTCGCGAAAGCCACGTCTTATTGCCCATGAGTCTGATCGATGTGGGGTCCGTCATACTGAGTGGGTATGTCTCTCCTGCCGCGAGAGCGAGAAGTGCGCTGAAATAGAGTACCTCGTCTTTGTTGTTCAATGCCTCGCCGTAGTATGCGAGGGCACGCCCACTGATGTTTATCATGATGCTGATGCGGTCTCCAAGATTCTGACAGCCTTTACGAGCTACGCTGTTATGAGAGGCCATGATACTCGATTTCATGGTCGCTGTAGGAGGTCCGCCTTGATTAGCAAAGCCCGAGAAGATTTCTCGGCCCTTGAAGGCGTTTAAAGTGATATTGTTCTCGTGAGACGGCAAGTCTATCGCTGTAGACATGATGACTTGGAGATTTACCCACTTCATCTTGACTATGGATTCACCGGGTCCATTCATGAAGAACGTCGCATTGTGATTCCTGTAACGCTGCCTTTTGTCGCTCCATGGTTCGTTGACGTTGAATTCATGGAAGCACCAGGCACGATCCCACTGCAACGAAAGAATGAGCAAGTCAGCGTGTGCGTCAGAATTCCCTTTTTCTTGAAGCTTCACGTACCCATCTTGCTGTGTTGATCTTCTTGTAGAAAGACAAATAGAGCGGTCTGACCTCCGGCTCAGGTAACCATGACTTATGCCACTGTATCTTGGTGATTTCAAAGTTCTCCACAAGGTGGGTCTCCGCCTCAGTAAGTTTCACGTCTTCTAACAGAACCAGTAGACGCATGCATGATCGATAAATCACATCCATGGCAGCAACAGACATTTGCTTGTCGAGAGTGTCTTCTTGGTCAATACAGAGCTGATCAATCCAAAGTCCTATGCGAGGGTTTTCTTTCTCACCCAGAATGGCATCTACAAAGGGCTTGCTGAAAGGCCAACGATCGTGCGGTTCATAATTCGGGTTCGGATAGTCGCCTGAATGCCAGCAATAGGAGATCGCGAAATATTGTCGTGGATACAGGTCTTTGTCGAAAGCCCCCCGAGCGTCTGAAGGAAAGACCAGACGGAATGGTGTCTTCAAGATGGTGGTAGTTGAGCGTTGGGAAAACTGAGCAGCGACATCTGGACACCATGAGGTCAAATTTCGAAGGACGAGGCTGGCCTCCACTTGACCTTGGTCCAGCTTGGAAAGGCCAGGCTCAAATACTTCCGCTTTGTTCTCTGGGGAGAGTGTCAATTGAAAGATGTTGTCGCTGATGTATTCAACGCTCGCGTCTCTGCTGGCCACAGTCCTTGCGGTGGTAGATTGCGTGTCCATGTCGGCGGACAGGCGTTTGATGTGTGAAGCTCAGCCGTTCTTCTCCCCATCGCCGAGGATTATAATCGCGGGGTAAGCCACAAAGCCCACCATGGACCTGATCTTTCTGCATGTGTCTGAAAGTGGCTGGGAAGGGGCCCTAAGTGGAGACCCCTCGGGAAGACAGTCGGCGCCAATCTATGCCTGGACTAGCGCGCCAAGCAGAATCTCGATAACATCGAAAATTTGCCCGGCCTCCCTTCTGTTTCTTCACGCACCATCAGACAGTTCAACACCCATCTCACCCGCATCTTTACGTCTTGTATCGATGCGATCCGAGATTTCCTATTGGGTGATTGCGATATAGCGCTGCGGAGAAGGAACCAAGCGATCCATTAGAGCTGGCTGCGCATTTTTTCGGTTGCGCAGGCGGTGTCATAGGAGCGGTACATACACAACCCATAATCGTCGTGATTTTGAGCAGATAAGACCTCGAATGACCGAGCGCTTGCAATGCTCGTTCAAATTTGCGGATGATAGTTATATGGCCATCTGCAAGAAAGTCCAAATTGTCGCGCTCGTCGTAATGTTGCGCCTCACGGGCGCGTGCTATTACCGGCGTGCATATCTTTGACGTGTAGTCTGCTATTATGTCGATGCATCTCGTCAGCTTCCAAGCGATCAAAGCGTATATGCTGCCATCGCCGCCGTCGCGCATGTGGGCGATTGACGAGATACCTAGGTATGATCTCTTGTGGTTCTGCGACTAGGGCTTACCTTGGCAGCTTCGAACCAAAGCACGATGAAAAATCACAACCTGTTAGACACAGAAGACCTCAATAAACTTTGTTGGATAACTTTAGGTTGGAACGCTCAAGCCTCCTGCCTGTACGTCATATCAACAGCGACATGTACCTTGTACACAAGACTTTCATCTAGAATACCGCGAATGTCCTTGGTCATTCCTTACACGAGATACCTCGGGTGGTCCTCTCCATTCATGCGCTGCTCATCAGTTGGCTGGCAGTACACCGGAATCTGGAAGCTGTATCCACTAGGGTTCTCCACAGCACCGTCCGGCAAGAGCTGAACCCGTGGCAAGAACTGGACGACTTCTCGCAATGGATTCGGAAAGTTGTCAACTGAGACCGCCCACTTCAGCGGCGCGACATTTGCGAAGCCACTTGCTACTGCTGCCTTCAGTCCATCAGGACTCTTTGCGCCAGAAGCGGGTGTGGGTTCTGCATCGTCGAGTTCCTTGACAGTGTCGTACAGAAGGCCCAGATCTGGCGATAGATCATCGATTGTGTCGTCATCCTCCCAAGTTTTGCCAACGAGATCGAACAATCGATCACCCTGGTTGAGGTCCTCAGTCAACATTTCGTAGATCATGGCTACCATGCTCAGCTCCATATAGCGTTGATCATCAAGAAGTCCACCGCCACCGCTGAGAATAGCGAGCATACCGTAGTATCCAAACATTGATGTGCCACGAGGATGTTTAAGAACCAAGTCCAAGCGCCCTTTCATCTTGGCGATCGCCATATTGAACATGAGCGTCACTCCAAAGGTGACATAGAGGAAGCCGGCAAGTGACCAAACGGTGAAATTAGCAGGCGGTGGGGCCATTTTTAGCCAGTATTCCTCAAGGGTGCATGCGCTAGAGTAGCACATGTAAGCATTTGCGTATAAGCCTTTTGTGAGATACTCGTCGCCCCGGTGTTTGAGCCAAAGGAGAGATGATATCCCTTCTCCCATGAGCTCGATAGGCAATTTAGCGTTCATGTCTGCTTTCGAGAAACCGACCGACTCTCGCGCTTGATGTTCATGCTGCCCCTGTATAAAGTCCGCAGACTTCTTAGCAAGATGGCTATCTGCGTGTCCAGTAATGGTAGTCTTGTGGAGGACATTCCACATGACGTGAAACTCTAAGACTAGATGTTGATAGCGCTCGAGCTGTTGGCCATGTGCGACAACGATCTCAGATCTCATACCGTGAACACCAGGACGCGCACGTATACCATTGGAGATTGTAGTTCCTGGGAATTTGCGGTGACAATAGGCTAGGTCGTTCATGCGAAGTACCTGCATGAAACCAGGTAGGTCTTTCTCAAGTACTAGCAGGGACATCGAGATGTTTGCATCACTCTTGACCATGCGTGTAACACCCTCTTGGGTTTCATCGCTGGCATGTGGAAACTCTATCTTGATGTGTAAACGCCCAGCTGGAGCTTCCTGAGGTACGGGCCGTAGGCTCAGGCTCAGATATCCGTCCGGGAGTGTTTTGGCGGCTTTGACATGGCGAATATTGATGTATTTTACACCAAGCCAGTGTGGCTGAATTGCGAAAGCGCCCCAGTTGATGTCGAAACGTATCCAAGACAGCATGTGATGCACATAGCTCTTCGCGAGCTCATGGATGCTCTTGCTGATGCGCAGAAGGGAAGTTTCGAAGCGGTAACCGCCGAACGCGGTGTCGGACTCGTCGATCTCACAATCGCAAGGATTAAACACATAGCTTAAAACGCGGTTGAAGAGCTCTGCGGGTAGAGACTCTAAGTGAGAGACGGAAGTTGGGGTATTCATTGTGGCTGGTCGAGTGTAGTCTGGCTGGTTGAAGGTATAATGGACGCAGCATAGGCCACCGAATCCCATTTTTTATATCGTCCAGCGCAAACGGAGCCTTGCTCCATCCAAGTGTTGCTTGACGTGTAAGAACCACCTGTCTGTGCGCAAAGCAAGCTACGTCCGTTAGGCAAACTCTCACGCAAGATCGACCTCCCGCCCCCTCCTTTTTAGGATGACTTGGATGCAGTCAACCTTGGCCATTCCATCTTGGCCTTTCATCTGCTGCTCCATATCCTTGGCTGCCCAAACATGTTCGATATCGCGCATGACGCGTTTCAAGCTGGGGAAATGCTTTACAGCATACAGCTTTTCAAATCGATCACGGACGAATTGTCGTTGTGTGCTGTCGATCGCTTCGCAGCCCGCGGTGAACAGCGGCCACATATGCGCTGATGTTAAAGGCGAATGGATGTCGACTTGCTGTAGCTGTGATAGACACTGATTAATATGCTCCATGCTTATCGGGTTGGGAGCACCTATATCAAGCCAGGTTCGGTAGAGGTAAATGAAGGCGGCGTGGCGATAAGCTTCAGCTGTCGAGCTAATGTCTATGCGCTCTTCGCTGTTCCGCCTCTTACATGCACCAAATTCCATGGCTAATAGAATCTGCTGGATATGTTGGCCAGTGGTATTTTCATCTTCCGACAAAGCAAGGCTTGTTGGTGATAGCGCTCTCCTCGTCTTGATAGCGTGTTGCAGCTGACTGATCTTTGCAACGACCACTAGGACTTTTGCGATACTTTCTAGCTCTTTCTCCCCTTCGATGGCGACAAAGTCCATTTCATGATCCAATAATGGCTGCGAGCCTCTTGACACGGAAGATAGAATATCGTGGTATGCAAACAGACTCAGGAGGAAGCGAGCACTAGATGTGACAAGCCAGCTACCTCCACTGCGCCCTGTTATCATGGCTTTGGCGCCAGTCAGATGGTTCGCGATGTTCCCTTCATCCTCATCGCCAAACAACCGCGCCGAAACCTGCATCATCATGACAGTGGCCAGCGCTGGCTCAGTATCCATCTTCACTGGATCCTGAATCATCTTTTGAAGCTCTTGGATTGCGTCTCGTTGGTGACGGTAGCCTTGTAGGTGAAGTGAAGCATCGTTTGATGCAAATGCGAGATGATTTGCAGCCATTGAGAGGACTGTCGATCTAAGTGCTGGCGATTCGTAGGCCATGGCCGTCAAATGTCGTTGGAATGGTGTTGCGATGCCATTTTGAGGTGAAACTGATAACAGCTTTGAGAGTTGTTCTCCCCAATAACTAAGGAGCCATCGATCGGTTGGAGATATCCCATGGGACAGCACAGGGCTGTTGAAGGGTAAAGCAGGCATACTTTTCGCCGAGTCAGGCGATGAGAACAGTACATCTGAACTCGTAACTGCCGATTGTATGGATTCGAAGCTAATAGTCGACGCTGGGCTGAGTGCTTGGTCATCGTCGATAGCCTTCTTCTTCCGACTCTTCCGTGGTGGTTTTGCCAATGTATTAACGGCGTCGTCCTGCCATTTCAGCTTGACTCCATAGCCTCTGCAGATGATATTTAGTCTTGTGCAACGCCCACAAAAAGGCTTCACCTCGTCACACTTATATCCAGCCCCCCTACAAGTCCAACAGCCGGTCCTGGATCTCTTGTGCGTTGCCATCTAGACGTGCGTCGCATCTTCGGTGCTCTATCACCGTAATGGTCATTCAATAGAACCACCTGAAGTTTGGCATAATCGACTAATGACTCAATAGGTCGCGGAAGTGGGTGGTGTCTGAAGTTTGAGAGAACTGCAGAACTATCAGGAACGGGAAGGTAAACGGTGGCAAACCGCATTAGTATTAGCTCCCGCATCCATCGTGAGCCGAGGCCTGCACTCCTAGCAACACGATAAACGCGAACAGCCCATCTTCTCGATCGAGAAGCGCTATTATTTACAAGTGACCTGAACAGCCAACAAGCCTGATATCAACCCTGAAACGGAATCTCGCCCTCCTCAAAAGCCCGCACCCATCTGAACATCCCTTCTGCTGGATCCATGACACAGACAAAGTGTGTAACCTCATTACACACCGGGTACTGTTTTAACCATTTGATTAGTTTCTCTGGACTCACGCCTACTGCTGCATTTTGCCCTCGCTTCGCTTTACGGCCTTGCTCCTGGGTCCATTCTCGCCATTTTCGCTCTAGACACTGTTTTCGCATGACGCTTTCTTCGAGTACTTCTTGCATACCGGCATTGAGGAAGCTGTGATTCCGGCCCTGAGTATGGACGGCCTGGTTCTGGTTGGCGTGCGGATTGGCTGTAGACTCTAACGATACGTCGTGATTAGTGGTACTGATAAAGGTTGATGAGCGTAAGATCCTTGCGCTGTGGAAGTCTTTCTCCAGGATGATAGTCTCTGCGCTGGTACAGAAGATCAAATACGCCACTGATGTCTGCATAGTTGCGATGTTGTTGGGTGCGTCAGATGCATTGTATGGCGGAATTAGTGCAGATGACGGATCTCTTCGTTCTTGTAAAGACTTCTTAGAGAGCCTGTGCCGTCTGCGAGGTGCGCTTGACCTAGGTAGAAGGCAATCGCGTATGAGGGTGGAGATGCTCGGTCTCTTCCCCAGAAGCACCATGAGAGTGTTCCAGTAATATTTGATGTTAGGTCCTGAAATTCCCCGGGCGTTGTGATAAGGTCGAAAGTTGAGTGAGACACTCAATCCCTTCCTTACACCTGTAAGTGCACCCACGAAACCAACGTAGCCAATTGTGCTCGCTATCACTCCGCCACCCACACCCTCGATGAAGTCGAATTGCACAATTGCTTGTCTCAGGAGAGGCATAGACCAATCTAGCGTTCGGAAATGCATCATCGTTGTCTCGGCTTCGGGATCCTTGACCATGACTCCGCCGCTCGTGCAGCCCATGAGAAGGTCCAGGAAGACATTATAAGCGACGAGTAAGTACATTGGCACGCCAGATGCTTCGCTAATGCCCCTGAGTTCCTCAGTCTGTTCGTCGCTGTGAAGACGACGCAAGAACAGACGGCCTAAGAGATGAAAAGTCCCAGTAGGCAACTTCAAGTGCTGAACTGCTTCATCGTAGAGACACGGCATCTTGCGCAGAACATGGGCGTATTCGGTGGCGACCAACACATAGCGTTCGCGTGGCGGTAGTGAAAGGTTGATGGTGTAGATTGAAGGTGTATTGCTTGCCGATTGTGCGGTTGATTCAGACATGAGGAGGTGACTTTGACTGGAAGAGGAATTGGAAGAAAGAGCGTAAGATTGAGGTTTGACGCGAGACGTTCGCGCTCTCAACTGGGGAGGCATGATGTGTTCGAGCACGGGTAAATCTTGGAAGGAAGCCACGCTCGTCCAGCGTTTGAAAGAACAGCCCCGCGACTTCTGCAGAGTTATCGATCCTTGAAGAGCCGCTCACGTAGGCATACGCGCGCTGGTGCCTAATGCTAGCAATCATAGCACCTTGGAAGAGCGGGGCGAAGCGCGCCATGATATATTATTTGGATGACATGTCATACCTCATCAGACATGTTCTGAGAGATTTAGAGTGAGGGATAGATCGACTCGTCGTGATGGTCGCGTGTGAAGACAAACAGACCAAACGCGAAAGATGAAGCTACTACCCCAGCTTTCAAGCTTTCCACATCCGCACCTCGGCTTCCAGAGCATGCTTCCCCGCGGGAGTCCTTAGCCGGCGCGACGGCCAACAATGTCGACGTCGAGCATGTTTACTACTAAGCTCGCGTTTTTCTCTCTTCACGCGCATCCTTTCAATCGTCCCAAGTAGTAGACTACTTCCAGCTACCTCGTCATGCCGTCCGCAAACCAACCACCTCCACTCGCAGACGTACGCGTCCTCGAGTTTGCAGGACTAGCCCCAGGTAACCTCAAACTCCCTTCGCAAAGTAATCCCTAGGCTCTATCTAACAGTCTTCAGGCCCCTTCGCGGGCATGCTCCTAGCAGACTACGGCGCCACTGTCCTCCGCCTCGACCGCGCACCCTCAGCCCCATCCTCCGATCAATTAACGCGGCGCAAAACCTCGATATGCGTGAACCTCAAATCGCCCGCGGGCCTCGCCCTCATCAAGAAGATCATCCCTCAAGTCGACGTGGTAATCGATCCCTTCCGACCTGGCGTCCTCGAGAAAGCCGGTCTCGACCCTGAACAGGTGCTGTTGAAGTTGAACAAGCGATTGATCGTAGCTCGCATGACGGGCTTCCGTCGGGATGGCAAATACAGTCAAATGGCCGGGCACGATATCAACTACATTGCTGTATCCGGCGTGTTGAGCATGTTTGGCAGGAAAGGGGAAAAACCGTATGCGCCGGGCAATGTCGTGGGAGATTTCGCGGGAGGCGGCGCAATGTGCTTCATTGGTATATTGCTTGCGCTGCTGGCGAGAGAAAGGAGTGGCTATGGACAGGTTGTCGAGGCGAATATGGTTGACGGGAGTGCGATATTGGCGACTATGCCAAGGTTGGGATTGAAGACAGAGGTCTGGAAGAGGGAGAGGGGCACGAATATGCTAGATGGTGGTGCGCCATTCTACGACACGTATGAGACAAAGGATGGAAAGCACATGGCAGTGGGCGCTATTGAACCCCAGTTCTACGCCGCTTTACTCAAGGGCATGGGTCTGGAGCCGTCGGATCTACCTGGTAATAGGGACGACAGGGCGGACTGGCCAAATTTGAAGGACTTCTTTGCCGCCGAGTTCAAGAAGAAAACGCGCGAGGAATGGGAGGCCATCTTCGACGGAACAGATGCATGCTGCACGCCCGTGCTAACGCAGGGTGAACTCGAGACCCAGGGCTTCGATCAACGGCCGGCTGTAACTCTTAAGTCCTCACCTGGATATGCGATACACGATGGTCATGATGGGAGGTCGGCAGCAGAGGGCCAGGGTATAGGAATGGATGGCAGCGGATGGAGCGAGAAGGGCTTGAAGCCTGGCAGTGGGGGCGAAGATACATTGACCACATGGATGGGATGGACTAAGGGTAGGCATTATGTCGAGGACCAAGGGGGCTTGGTTTGGAAGGACTCTGCAAGGTTATAATCATGTCAGATTCTCTACTCATTATCATTTGTTCACATGAGCGCTTCTTGTGTTCGTCAAATCGCCAGTCAAAGGCTGTATATCTTCAGTTTACACATATATTCATACAACCCGCAGTATGTCGTCTTGTTGATTAGGCCCTGGCCTTCCTCGCTTTCGGTTTGCTAGCTTTTTTGCCAGCATTCCGGAGCCTCTTCCTCTCTATGTTCGCTTGGATCCTTGTGCTCCTCTTCCTCCAGGCCGTCCATCGGTCACCCGGCACAAACTCCTTGACCTGCACACCCGCCTTCTCGGCCGCACGTCCAATCTGCCAGTTGGCCTCACGGTACGCGTATCCCTTGCCAGCGGTCAAGCTCAATCCCTTCCGTGTCGCTTCGCGCGGGGTATCGCGCACGCTGCTTGGGCTGCCTGTGCCGTCGCCAACTTGTAAATCGGTTATGACAACTGCGTCCGCAGAAGGACTCGTTGATGAAGTGATAGGAACGGCGAGCATGTTTAAGCGTCTCCGTCTCGCCGCATTTGGTGGGTATGGAAGGGTGTGGTCTTTCTCGAGGGCGACACCAATGTATTGCCTCTTTGGGTGTTTCTTCGGGTCACGGTAGTATCGTACGTAACCAGACTCTGTCGCGAAGATGCAGTGGTCGCGGCCGAATTTGCAGTTTTCGCCGGGAAACCAGGCCGTTCCTCGTTGTCGGAAGATGATGTTTCCTGGGATGACATACTCTCCTGCAATGCCGTTAGCCAGGCTCCTAACTGCTTCTTCAAACTGTAGAACATACCTCCGCTCTTCTTTGCTCCTAAACGTTTACCAGGTCCATCTTTTGCTCCGTTGGCTCGTCCTTGGGCCTGATGCGCTGAGTGCCTTACGAAGGAGAGAACCGGGGTGGGCGCCGAGGTGCCATTGGCCACGCGGAGGGCGTCGAGAACACGTGTAGATGGCGCGATGAATGTCGTGGATGTTGCCAATGAGGCGCGGACGGGCGCAAATATCCGTGGGAGCAGCATGGCCGCTCTGGTGCTGGAGAGGCGGGCCTTCGAGTGCACTGCGACTTTTCGAGATGCTCGGTGGTCCGTGCATGCTCCGCAGGCGACTGCTACGCCCGCGCCGTCGCCATG